GAATAAATCGTAGGTCCCGTCTCCTGCAGGGTTTGGGGTAGGAGACGCTAATTTCCCACGCACGAGATTACTGTGTGGTGGATGTCCTCCCCTGGGGTTGGATGGGAGGGTTTGTCTTACATTTTATACATGAGTCTCTGGCTCGGGCAATTGGGTAACCATGCCTTACGTAAAGACAATAAACTTGATTGTATTGTATAGTATAGTAAGGAGAGTTCAGTACTAATGAGATCTTGGGATCTTATGGATTTGAGTCTCCTATGGGAAAGCTCAAACATGGAAGGATTGAAAAAACACACTGGCCTTTAGGACGACCATATTTTTTGTGTTTTTCAAGCGAACGGAGGCCAGCGCGAAATGAGAGTCACGCACGAGGGAAGGAGCACGAAACAAAGCCTCACACGTGACTCGTGCTTGCCTCCGTTCGCCTGAAAACGCCAATAAAAAATTACGCCTGTTTTGCAGGCTAAAACACACAAACAAAACAAATCAATACGTATGATGCACGATCCTTGCAGTATCTAATACTGCAGTTCAAAATATCTGAACTTCATATATTTATTCTATCTCAAAACAAATCAAGTTACCGTTCTTCCTCGGAAGCGACTCTCATACAAACTAGACGCGCTGGGAGGTTGGTTCTTTTCTTCCATTTGAACAGTCACAGATGCTGGAGATCTCCGCTGATCTAAGTAACTTGTACGTGGAGAAGACGAAATATTCACTGAGGCGGGCGATGCAGGTACAGGGTCTTGGAATCTTCTTTCTTCTCCGACGCTCGCTGCCACCACAATGAAAGGAAAAAAAAATAGATTTTCGCTTCAACTCTTTACTCCCCGACATCAGTATGCATATTCTCCATACTGTTCTCTATAAATTTCCTAAGCTGCTGACGAGGAGAATTTGTTTAACAATCAAGAGCTTCTTCAGTTGATCATCATTTCCTTAATTCTTGCGACCGTAATGCGTGATTTAGGGGTGATATTGTAAGGAGAAATTAAATATTAGTCACCCCTGGAGATCAAAAGGTTAATCAATACACCGCACACGTAATGCAGTGTTCTCCAGAGAATTAAATGCCAACTATAAGATTAGTAAAGAGGTTAGCACAATGCATCAACTATAGCGAACGCTTTAAAAAAAAGGTAACGGGCGTCAACGCCGGCAATAGGATCTTCTATAGGAAAATTCATTACTTGACGAGGGAATTCCGCATTAAACTGCACGCGAAAACCGATTTCGCACGAATAGTGACGCGATGAGTGCGATATCGGTTTTCAAGTGCAATTTAATGCGGAATTCACGAGTGAAGTAATGGAATTTTCCTTGAATCGCATAACTGGATTAAAATGAGAAAAAAAAAAGGAAAAAGCAAAACTTAAAATTGTTATGTTCACGTAGATGCAAAACAATATCACTTAGCCTCGTTTTCAACTCGCAATTCCACACTCAATACCTCTCTTCGTTAACCAATCAGAATGCGAGATTTTATTCAATGATGCGATTCTGGAAAAGATAAGTTGGTTTGGTCGACTGAGTTGATTGGCCACTGTAGAGTTTCTAAAACTGACGTTTCAAGCGTCAGCCCTTCGTCAGAGTGAAACGTCGGCTTTTAAAACTACTTACGGTGGTCACTTTACGTTCTGAACTCAGTTAGCAAATCCAAATTATCTTAGTTCATAGTGACAAGCGTCCTACAAAGTACGAGGAAAAGAGAACTCAAAAGCGTCTTGAAAAGAAGGACAGACGAACAGAAGGTAGTTACCATAAGATGGCCTCTTTTGAACGATGTATGACTCGGGTTCTTCAATCGTTTGAACTGGAACTTCCACTCCTTTCTGCATATCTTTGTACCAGGCGGGCACGTGACCAGTACTGGGTCGCGACGTCCTCCGTTCTCCTCCACCTGGCTGCCAAGAAGCCCTTCTGTCGATGTCATCACTTGACCAGGCAGGCTCTGGTTGTGATGAGACACTACTAGTGTATGTGTTTCTGACTGGTTCTTCGTGTATGTAATCTGACTTTCTGAGAAAAACATCATTGTCTCTATGGTCCAGAGAGGGAGACGCGCTCCTGGGCGGAGTCGAGGAACCAGAGCCACCTTCATGTTCCCTGACAGTTCCCTTGGCGACGTCACTTGCAAGTAAGCCAGATAAATTTGAAGAAGCTGGTTTAAGGGAGAGAAATATTTTAACACTAACTCATGAAAAACAACGTGATACAGCCCGTTATATTTTTGCAGACTTCTCACCGGCTCACACTTTTCAAAGCCTCAAATTTTCCGGCCGATCGAAGAAACGACCGTGCAAAAGCGCTGATAATGATCAATGCGAGTCCGCCTTTGAGCTGGAAATGAGTGGATGGATCATTTTGTGAATCGTACTGTTCAATTTGGTTCTAAATTCTTACTGAGCGGGCGACAACCTCGTTCCCAGGGTCTCTTACCTTCCCGCCCCTCTCTCGCTACAGGGGACGGGAAGATGAGAGATCCTGGGAACGAGATAAGAAGACTTCACTTACTTCCTGCACTTGAATGCATTTCCTTGAACATCTCCTTGTACCACTTTCCACCCCTTGTGATTGACTGCGAAAAACAAATGGTGATCAACCTCAAATGACAGAAGTTCAGACAAACATAAACAGATATAATACCTATTGCACGCTGATTGCCAAAACAATCGTTAGCAACAGAAAGTCGAGCGCGAGGGGATCGCGATGAATGAGTCACACGCGAGAGGAGGAGCACGAAGCCTCGCGCGTTTTCCTCCACTCGCCTGAAAATTGCAAAATGAACGAAGCGCATTAAAGAGAGTTGCGAGTGAGGGGGGGTGGGTGGGGTGGTGGTAGCAGCTTGTAGTATATTTCTGCCTCCGTGGAAGCATTAACCATTTGATGACCAAGCTCTAATTTTCCCAACAAAATCACCCATGAGTCAAACATTAAGGTCAGGAGAATAAAGGGAATGATCACCAACTGAAGAAGCTCTTGATTGTTAAACAAATTCTCCTTGTCGGTACCTTAAGAAATGTTAAGAGAACAGTATGGAGAATATGCATACTGATGTTAGGGTGTAAAGGGATAACTGCACCAGGAGAGTTTCAAAAGTAATCGAGGGAAAGGTTTCTGCAGACTTACTGGGCGATGTGGTCCTGCCGCGGGGTTACCCGTCTCTGACTGTGTGTGTTCTTCACTGTATTTTTTGGGGGGCTTCATACGGGTTGGCGGCGCTACTTTGATTGGTTTGGGCTCTCTCGTGGCTGAAATATGAACATATTCAAGACATTCATAAATTGGCAAAAACACTAGCGAAATATTACATTGGACGGGCCTCGCGAGTTTCACACCACTCCCTCGCGCGCGTCCTAGTCCTCGCACGTGTCCCACCCTTCGCGCGTGTCGCTCTCTTCAGGTCAGTTATTACCTTCCACAGCCGCGTGTTCTTTTTGTTTTTTAAACTGCTGCATAGCAGGTCTTGCCACTGAGGGAGCTGAGTCCGAACTACTTGCATCACCATTAGCCATCATGAACTCGTCCTCCGAGCCAATAGATCCTGATGTTAATCTAAAACAGAAGAAGCAAAATCAAAAAACTTGACAGGGTCTGGGCCCGTGAAGCTGATGGTTTTGGACGGACGTCTGTATCAGAACAACTGCGCACCTACCCCTCCCCTAACTTATCATAAACACTAACTTGTTATCAGTCGACTGCTGTTGAGTTAGGGGAGGGCTGGGTGCGTGGTATTTCCCGCGCTGAATAAAAATAATGAAGATGACAGACAGGTGAGCAAGATAAAGATTTGCCACACAAAATATACACAACATACCAAGCTAAGCAAGCTAACTTCAGTGTAAGCGAGACAAATTATGTGATTGACACGTTATCTAAGACACTTGTGGGACATTGTGAGCTGTCTAAAAGTGATGCCTAAAAATGAATAACGCAGGACTGTGAAAAGTATACGAGGTACTGAAAAAAGCACTTTCTGAGGTAATGTGACAGATGGTTAATCAAGAATTAGAAATATTCACTTCTTGTTTTTTTTTTCATTTCGTCATAAGTTAGATCAATGAGTTTGAATTCAGGCTACTGTTACTTTTACGCGAAAAAGATCCGTTTTCTAATTTTATATTACCACAATAATTTAATTAGAGTATATTACACTAAACGAAACTATCGTTACTGACAGTACTTGGCATTAAAAATTTTTATACAAAATCAGAACTTTATTGTTATAACAAACATCTATTATCCCTACCAATTCAATGGATTTTGGAAATTTAATGTCAATCATCAGAAACTTTACAATGAATTTGAATTCATCTCCCCTCAAAACTTAAAGGCTCATGTGAGTACGGGTTTTAAAATTGCATTGAAAAATATTACCAGTAGTTCTGTGTACAACCCCTAACTACAAAAAGACCAATTTGCCTTTGAAAACAAAAACCAACATTTCTACAAATTTCCGTGAAATGCTTCTTAGACAAGGCAAGTTTTTTAAAACGTTTAATTTATATAATTATTCTTTCATCTGTAAGCTTGTTTGCTAATTTGATTTCGAACTGTATTACAGTACAAGAGCAGTTTGAAAGTGAGTGCCAGAGTTACTCCAGTATCGCTTTGGTTTTACCTTGCTCTGCTTTGTGATTGGTTCAGAAAACTCATGCCATTCTCTCCACCAGATGCAAAACTAAAAACAATCGCAAATTTGTTTTTCTTGTTTACCCGCGCTTCAAACAGTTCGCTTGTTTTTTATTTGAGTCCCCATTAACGTGACGATGTTTATCTTTCTTCTGACTTTCTTCTGACTGGCTGTTTTGATAACTTTGGTTTCGCTTTTTGACACTCGATTGGAAACTGCTCTAAAAATACTGTTCGCAACGCAATTTATGAATCTCTATATTTTAATTAGCTTTACACAATGGACATCCATTATTTAGACAAACCATTTCATGTTTTAATGAAAAATGTATGAAGGACTTCGAGTGCAAAATTGAGTTACGTATAAATTAGAAATGCATGCATAAGTTATTGTGCAAAAGAAGAAATTTTCATTAAATACTAACTGTGGATTAGTTCCATCTCTGCCGTCAAATCTATGAAATTGTAGACAAGAATAGGCAAATATGAAGATATGATTTAATCAGTAAATGCTGCAGGGGATGTCATCAATAATGTACAGAACTTTAAAATTTTTACTGCAGGTCAGAAGATCTACACTTGAAGAGCAAATTTAATTATTTTTTTTTTCTTTTATAATTGACACCATATTTTGATGTTGATGACTATGATAGCAATGACAATGATAACAATGATGATGTTGCAAAAGCTATACAGACATAAAATTAACAATATAGATTCCATGTTGCCGTACATCTGTTCACCAATAGATGACAACTGATGTCAAAATGTGGAAAGAACAAAAAATTGGCAGTGTCAGTGATGTTCTATACACATTTTGACTTCTTCTATGGTCTATTATTTTCTGTACAGACCCACAAGAACATGGAACCTATTTGTTTTATGATAAAAAGCAAAACTTTTATAACAGTGATGTCATCTATGCACCTTTCAATGTTTAAACAATATTTTATGCAGATGTAAAAAGATAAATTTTGGACCATGAAGAGAGGATAACCTTCAAGATTTTTAGTCAAAAGAGAAGAAAATTTGGGTTATGGAGACAATCCTCTGTATATAATTCTGCTGACTTGTGGTGATAAAAAAATCAAACTTATTAGTAAGATGATAGTTTCTAAAGAAACTGTTTGGGGCTGCGTCGGTGGGGGTAACGAAATAATTTGGATATATCAAAAAAGTTGAAATGGTAAATTGGCCACCGTAACGACTACAAAAGCTGACATTTTGAGCGTTAGCCCTTCGTCGCAGCGAATGACGAAGGGCTAATGCTCGAAACGTCAGCTTTTGTAATCGTTACGGTGGCTAATTTACCATTTCAACTTTGTTGATATATCCAAATTATTAGTAAGATGAGTTATCTTGACAAAAAAACAAAATTATTTTGGCTTAACTGTAACACATTGAAGCTGGTACAGGGAGATACAAAAGAGTCTTGGAAATTAAGAAATTCTTTGGGCAAGTGTCAACAATGTTTTACAGAAGGACTATGAAAGATTCAAAAGATTACTTTTTTATTCCAGGATAAGTATTTACAAAAAACACTTACCTTCTTCCTCCTCTACCAATAGGGCGTGGTTTATCGGTGAATCCCCTAGGGTCTGCTGGTGCTCTCATCTGGGCACTGGGTTCTACCAAAAAGAAAGAAGCAAAAAAGTAAATTAAAGAAAAAAAATGGCAAGTCAGGGTTTGACACTAATAGTAGCCCACTAGCCACAGACTAGTAGAAATTCAGTTTTGGCTGGTCGTTTTCAATTTCCACTAACCAGTTTAGCTAGTAAACAAACTGAACTTGTCATAACATCTAAAAACATCTAAGATGTCACTAGCCACTTGGCTAGTAAGTTGAAAAGTTAGGGTTGAGCCCTGGTGAGTTTGTACTTGTGTCACATGGCCTGTCCAGTTGATAGTAAGAGACTGTTGAAGTTTTTGTGGTGTGAAGTAACTCAAGAGTATTTTCTTTTCCACCCATCTATACAACATCAGTCCGTCCTCACTGCCCCCCTGATTATTTTGTACGATTTCCTAGACATTTCCTAGGTGAGTGTAGAGTTTACCTTTACCTGTGACATTTCAGTGGCTAGCCTGGAAACATGCCTCAATAACATGGCCAGGTTTGAAACCCAGAGTCACCAAAAGGAGTTCAGAGCCCTGACCTTTCAACTGCCCCAATTTTTGCAAACCAATAGTGTAAAAGTAAAGAACGTCTACAACATAGGCATTAATGCAACTAGCAAGCATACCTGAGGATGTTGAGGAGCTGGATGCAGATCGTATTCCTTCCATACCATGAACTAACTTAATTTGCTCTGGAGGTCTCACAACTTCTGATATAATGTTTGGATTCCATTCATTTGCATTATATGAATCATCTGCAGTACAAGCCCAGAAGAGATAATTTAAAAATGTTGTCCACATGTAACAATAAACACAAACTAATTATTGTCAAGAAAAAGGTATGACATTGAGGTTTGCCTAATGCCTACTGACCAAGATCACAGCTACCCACTCACTTTAAGGTACAAATCCACCCTTATGAAAAAGCAAATGATAGCCATGGGAAAAGAAGACCAGAGCTGGAGCTTTTTCTTTATCTTTGGGCTTCATCATTTACTTACTAACATCTGTATCCATATTCTCCATACTTTTCTCTGTACATTTCCTTCAATACTGACAAGGAGATTTCATTTAACAATCACAGCTTTTTAGGTTGGTGATCATTGCCTTTATTCTCATGATCTCAATGAATGATTCAGCAGTATTACTGTAACAAGAAATTACACAATGGTCACTCTTGAGGTTTAAAGGGTTAAAACTGCCCCCATTGTGAGCCCTGGCAATCCAAACTTTTTTGCATTCTTGATGTAACCCCATCTAAGAGACTTGGCTCAGGGCTCAACACTAACTTTTCAACTTACTAGCCAAGTGGCAGTGACAACTTAGATGTTACAACAATTTCAGTTTGTTTACTAGCCAAACTGGCTAGTGGAAATTGAGAACCAGTAGCCAAAACTAAATTTCTACAAGTCTGTTAGTGTCGAGATTTAGTTGATGATCATTTGCTTTATTCTCATGACCTTCATGTGTGATTCAGGTGTGATATTGTGAGGAGAAATTAGATGTTAGTCACTCTTGATTTTAAAGAGTTAAAAAATCATCACAAAGTAACAATTGGTTCATGCTTTAGCGTGCACTATTGAGTTATGGAGCACGTGGGAAGTTTGGAGAGCATGAAAGAAGCGTAAGAGTTGCCTGAGGCGATACCATTAGTGTCGAGCCCTGCTTGGCTGATGCCAACATTCCACTCTTTCAAACTTTCAACCATTTTCTTTGAAGCACATTTTCCGATCATTTACTATAAGATGAAGTGAATTGTTTTACGTTGCCGTTAACAATGAATTCATTAGTGCCATTCTAAATGTACTTAGAGCATAGCTAGCAGAACTGCGCAATCAAATTCAATATACGTACGCGTGCTCAAAATCCTGATAGTGCACGCTGATAGCATCAGCAAATTGCTTCACCAGAATTTTTTTTTTGCGCGAGCAGCCATTGTTAGCACGGAGAAATGTAATATATTTTGCAACAATAATAGATACAAACAGAGACTCAGCCTACTTGTCCGAAAACAAAGACAATGTTTCGACCTTTTCCCTTGGGCTAGAGTTCTTAAATGAGGCAGAAATATAAAAACAACGGAAAAGGAGACTCGGCATCAGTGCCATCACAATTCGCTTCAACTAATATTGTTGTCCGTTTTTCGTGTCGGATTCGATGCACAATTCCACCGGCTATGTTCTAAAACAATTGGTTCACGCTTTCAGCTGTGCACTATCGAGTTATGGAGCACGTGGGAAGTTTGGTGAGCACTCAAGAAGCTAGAGTTGCCCTCACCTATCGCCTCAGGCAACTCTTACGCTTCTCTCATGCTCTCCAAACTTCCCAAGTGCTCCATAACTCAATAGTGCACGCTAAAGCATGAACCAATTGTTACTTTGTGATGATTTTTTAACTCTTTAATCCCAGGAGTGACTAACATCTAATTTCTCCTTACAATATCACACCTGAATCACACATGAAGGTCATGAGAATAAAGTAATGATCATCAACTAGAGAGGCTCTCGATTGTTAAGTTAATTCTCCTTGCCAGCACTTTAGGAAATGTACAGAGAGCAGAATAGAGAATATGCATACTGATGTTAGGGTGGAAAGAGTCAATATACAAACCTTTGTATGAAGAAAATGCATTTTCATTATTGTTTTCTTCAACATTTCTCCATCTCTTAAAGTCTAGATCCTTTTTATCCCCTCCCCCTCTTGGCATTGTTGCATAGGATAAAACTTCATTTGAAGATGATGGCTTGAAGTTTGCCTTGCTAATGTGAGTTGTTCTGCCAGTGTCCATGTCATCTTTAGATTTGGACAAAGACGATGAGAAGAAACTGTTGTTTGTTGTAGTAGGGTCTGGAGATGGCATAGGTCTTCTGAAAAAGTGAAAAAGAAAAAAAGAGGAAAAAACATCAGCAAATGGACTGAGTAAACCATCCTCACTTAAGAAAACTTCAGATGTTGCATTCTGGCTCACAAATATTCAATGCCATGCAGTTCACACCTGTGCAAGAAGGTCTTGCAAGATAGAAACATACCATTGATTCACTAAAAGTACTCTCAGAGTACTTTTAGACTGAAAATCTACTACCTTAACTTCCAGAGGTACAGGTATCTAACAAGCAGCTGCTTCTTACTGATAATTTCCCTTTATTACCAAGTTAAACCAGCAAGGACAACGAACAAAGGTATTAGCCACAGGGGGCAATAATGATAAAATACCAAATTCTTTTCATGAAACCTAATTAATCAATTTTAACTAGAAAATATTGTCGAGATGTCAAAAATCAATATCTGATTACTGACACAAGATACAAAAAAAACAGTGTTGATAACACACTCTTCATTACTAAACTAACTTAAATAACTTTGTGTAAAGTTTGTATGTTAAATTTTGTTTTAGAATCAGTGACCTGTGAAAATGACAATTACGAGAGATTGAGGCTAGCTAGCCTATCAATTGCCACCCAAGTAGAAGACAATGAAAGCAGTATGAAACAGGAAGTGGCCTTCTTACTGATCACATGGGTGAATGGGGGAACGTGTTGAACGAAAATAAAGCTACACAAGGACCCTTTTGAAAGCACACAGAGTGACATTCATGGCAAATACAAGGAAATGTTTTATTTTACAAAAGTTTCTTTGAAATTGCACAATATGATTGAGGCAAATGCAAAGCCTACACAAAAATGGAACAAATAATCTAAGTCTAGAAGCAGAATAATCTGGGCATAAAATTCAAGCAACTTCCTACTGATACTGAAAAAATATTTTAAAACAAAACAGAATCGCTTTTATCTAGTGAATCTACAGCCCACCCATCAAACCACCAAGTGGGCCCCTACAATCTACATATAAATATCAATTCTCATTACTGCCTCTAATACATTTCTTATAATTTCAACTCTAAGAATTTGCCATTAAACCAAACAGTGTTTTGTGGCTGGTAGAAGTTTTTATTCTCTTTACTTTCCTACTCTAAAATATACCCAGTATTGATATTTTCAGGAGAAATTAAGACTAGAAGATATAAATTTTTTTCCTTTAATTTTTTTTAAATCAATTTTTTTTTTTAACATCCTTGCCTGACAAGACTGGCAGTATAGCTTTTGCAATGTCATGATCCATACAATGGATAGCCTGACTGTACATCTGGAAGACAAATGACTTAACCTTCAACTATATCTGTACTCATAACCACAATGAACAACAAAATTTCTACAATATTTTTGTTTTCCAAACAAAATTCCTGTCTTATGAAGGCCTCTTCAAAACTGTACCACACAATGTTGTGTCCTATGCAATAAAAAGCTTCCTTCAAAATTTGATTCTAGGCAGGAGAGCACTTTGCTTTCATCATTACAAAAGAAGGGATAAAATTGTATTTTTTGTGAAATTGCCTTGAAATGAAAGTCAGAGACTCTTACAACAGTAAATTGTTTGTGAATGTTTTGTTGTTGAAAGATAACTTCAAAAACCTCCAATTCACTTGAAAAATCCTCATACATTAACCCTTGGACATTATTTGTTCCTTGAAGCTCTCATATTCCTATCATTTGGCTCCTGGAAAACTATTTTGTTCTTGGAACAGATAACATCCAAAGCAAACATCCAAAGCAAACATCCAAAGAAAACATCAAAGCATATTTTCTTACTATTTGTAGACTACAATTTACACTTCTTAAAATTATGCAGAATCTCCTTTCATTGATAGTAGTTTCAGGAGATATTCCAAATTCTCTACAGGAATGGGTGCAATATTTTGCTTTTGGTTGACAAATTGATTGTTAAAACACACACTCAGAAACATTTATATCACAAACAGTTATAAGAAATGAAACTGATTTAATGAACATACAGACAATAACTGATAACAAACGCAAATGATACTTGTCTGTCTCATTCCTTCTCACATTTACAAGCATGCTTTATGTTCTTTAATAACCTTTGCAAAGCCATGCTTGATTTTCAATCTTCAAATTTTAAAAGCAATGCAACAGATCTTTTCAGGCAATAGAAAAAAAACATTTGTTTTTTTAAATCAAGTACAAGAAATTCACATTGAAAATATGAACACACACAGATAAGAAAAGTTTTGGGCTTCAGACAATCATACAATCTAATACAACCCTGCTTCCCGCTGTTCAAACCACACAGAGACCTTGAACATTTGTGTAAAAAGCACAAAGTACAAGATTATCACAGATGTTTTTAAACAAGCAAGTCTGCTTGTAGCTTAAAAAATGCATACTAACATAACTTTTATGGGAGCAATAATCACTAGTCACTAAAGATGTATTTCAATAAGTTTTGAGGCATCTTGAGCAAATTACAGTAGATAGTTTATAGTGATGGTGTATCTCATGCTGTTAAGACTTCATACCAAACTTTATTCTACACTGAGCTCAGAGGTTACAAAGATATTCTGACGAGACACAAAAATGTGTATCAATACCAATGAATTATGAAATTCCCTCAAGCATGAAATTTGAAAATGATATCATATGAACCTCATGTATTTCAAAGAATCTGATAACCAGATTTTCACTGTGATAGGTCACACATATAATTTGTTTAGATTAGAAAGGAATCTGGGAACAATTTGCTAGTTATATGATCACAACAAATGAGAAAGGTAACGTGCAAAAAGTTTTTAATAATGAACAATAACAAAAAATTCTGAACCGATGAATATATTCTAATGAAGATTAAATATACCAAGGTATTATGCAAATTTCAAATTTTGTAAACAAGGTCCTTGAATGTTAAAATACGTAGAAGGTTTCCTGTAAATGTATAATTCTCATACTAAATAACATGAAAATGTAAAATATTAATGACACACGGAAAGCTTTTCAATAAACAGACCTCACAAGGGACAAAGGAAAGCTGTAAAATTTCAGAAGAGAGGAAAAATATTTTATGTAAATTAAAAGGTAAAGTTGATTTCAAATGAACACTTAAAAATGACTGCACACAAAAATCTATCTTGCAAAAAAATTCTACATAATGAGGGTCAGACTGGAATTCCATCATATATGGATGGGCAAGCATTATTTTAAAACAAAAACACACAAATGTACCACCACGTTAACAAAACACAGGAAATGAATGTTCATTTGTATGCTGTGAACTGAAAACGTTCCAAAATGCAGTTATCATTGGCAAATATTCTCTCAGTTAAGAGCCAACCACATGTAATTGTACCTTATAAAAACTTTAGGAGGAATAAATGCTGATTTAACATAACTGTGCTACAGGCACAAAGTTTATCAGGACAGTTAATATATTCTTTGTGAATACATGTTTCAATGTTACCTGCTAAAACTGAAAGAAGCTCTTGTCACGACTCTTGCCTCACTAGCCATGATATATGAGAAATTATTCACTCTAGCTGTTTGATTTAAACAGTGAAAAGACAGATAAAACAGGCAGATAGCTTGATATTGAACTCAGCACTCCATTTTTAACACTCCTCCAGTCCTCCTTGAAACATAATAACTTTGATTCTCCAATAACATAGAAAAACAACACTTGCCATATATGGAAAACACTCATTAGTAATCAATTAACATATCAATTTCACAGAGACTTACAAAAGGTCAAACATTTTATTTTTAACAAGCAAAAAATTGATTTTTGTGACCTTAAGTTGAAAGAAGTGTTTCAGCACTAGGAAAAAAAGAGGCAAAAATAAATATAAATGTATTCCAGCAGCTGTAAAAAATAAAACATACAATCTATATCCAATTAAAGCTTACAGCAGATTACAGACTAGTGACAGAAATTGACAACAAAACCAGAAGGTTGTCAAAATCTGTTTAAATTATCCCAAAATCATTTGATTCATTGTATAAATCCAACAGAAACAGCTGGCACTTTAAACTTATCCAGTGCATCTATTTTTAAATGCAGACACAAAGTAACACCAACTGTTTTGAAATTAATTATAAAATCTCACTTTTGAGACAAAAATATACTACTAACGACAAGAATGCTTCAAGCTTGAAAAAAAACAGTAACTTTCATAGAGCTAAACGTATTTTTTTTATTATAAATTTTCAAATGTGTTTGGCTGCTTTCATACAAAACTCTGGATTGAAAAAAATATTACTTTATTTGCATGAAAAGTTGAAAAAATTCTTAATGGGAAAACATATCTTAAAACAATTTGTAATCAATTTATTGCAAACTTTTCAAAAAAACCTATCTCATGAAATTACGATTACATCGTAGTAACATAAATCAAACATACATAATGGTCACACATCTACACTTCAAAATCAAAATAAGCCTTAAAATGAAAAATAGATTAAATTTAGATACTTCAAGATGAATACAATCATACATTTTTAACGTCTGATATATAAATCCTTTCTTTCATTTTGAACACATATACAATTTAGAAATGTAAAATTAGATGGAAATGTATACAGAACAGTCTGGAGAATATGCATGTATACTGATGTCAGGGCATAGAGGGTTAAAATCTTGGATTCCAGAATGGCCTATAGCCTCTTCCCACAAAAAAAAAAAAAAGAATATAAAAAATTTACTCCATGACAAATCTGTATCATGTTCTTGAGCCCAACTAATAAGTTAACATGAGAAAAAAATACATTCTGATATAATTAATTGCAGTGATACATGTGTTCTGCATAATAACTTACCTACAAAGGATCATTTTCAACATGGACCCAGTCTTTTTAATACTATTTAGAGCATCACTGTGAGTCCAATCTTCACAGTTTACATTATTGATGGAGCGCACTAATAACCCCTCCACAATTCCAGCCGTGTCAGCTTTACTGTTTGGCGTCACCTGTAAATGGATTAATTGACACCTATCATTTTTGCTGTATATCCTTTCTAGGTCCAAGATCTGATATTAATTCATAATTCAGCCTTCCAGCTCTTATACATTTTGTTGTGTTTTGGTCATGAGAATTGGATGTGATATCAATAATAAAACCCTAGTCTGATATGCTTGTCTGCCTAACTACAATTTAGTGCTTCATCATTCTTGAGATTAACAAAAATCCTACAAATTCAAAGGTGTAAACAAAGTAAACTTGAATTTCTATGACTTCTATGGTTCTATCTGAGGGAAAATAAACAAAACAACAGCTAATGAACAATAAAAGACTTAATATTTATGAGAAATGATGAATAAAAAAAAGTCTAAACACTCTCCAAACATAAGTCTGCAGTCCAAAGTTGATATCTAAATAAAATTCAATATGGTTGCATCTGTGAGAAAATAAACTCAAATGTACAACCGCTGATGAGCAATAACAGGTTAAGACTTTTATTTTTCTAATCATTTTCTTGTATTTAACAATTATTCACTGAAGGCATGGTGAATATCCTTGAATAATCTCCGAGACGAAGTCGAGGGGATTATTTGACAATATTCACCGAACCCGAGGCGAATAATTGTTTTAGTAAAATTTCAGAGCTGAACAACAGAGAAATTTCTAAAATCATAACATTTTAGTAACATTTATTAACACTTTATTTTAACATTTTATATCGGTTTATATAGCTTCATATAAGGAACCGCTCGACCAATCAGATTACTAGAAACTCTTTGCTCAGCTCTGAAATTATACTAATTAATCATTATTCGCCGAAGGTGAGGCGAATATGGTCAAATAATCCCCGAGACGAAATCGAGGGGATTATTCTACAACATTCACCAAACCTGAGGCGAATAATTGTTTTAGTACAATCTCAGAGCTGAACAACAGAGAAATTTCTAAAATCACAACATTTTAGTACATTTATTAACATTTTATTTTAACATTTTATATAAACCACATGGAACGGTTTATATAGCATCATGTAAGGAAATGCTTAACCAATCAGATGGCTGGAAACTCTTTGCTCAGCTCTGAAATTATACTAAATATATATATATATATTGCAAAACTCTTGAAGCAAAATCTGCTGCCACACACAACCTCCAATTAGCCCTTTAACTCCCATGATCTGGTTGTCAATTCTCCCCTCTAGCTGCTATACATTTCCTTGTAAACTGGTCAGGAGAATTTGGTGTTCAATCAAAGCAACAACTTCTACCTGATAAGTTTGAGTATTCTCGTTACCTGTTTGCTAGATAATGTATGGATATTATAAGGAGAAGTTACAGAGTAATCACTTCTGGGATTTAAAGGGTTAGTGTAGTACTATCCAGTATTAAAAGAAAAACACTTTTATAGCAGATTTTAACTTAACAAGACAAAGATTTTTTTTAGCAATACACGAATCTAATGACCTGGGTCACTGATATCTGAAATAAGCACTAAAACATATAAAAGTATTTCAACAAATATGTGGGAGAACATAAACATGGCCTCAGTCTAAACATAATTTGAATAATTGAGGCTGAATAATCTGTCTAGGATTTTAGATTAGGTGTGGGATGATCCTGTTTGTCAAAATAATAAAATATGCAACCACAACTAATCACTGGTTCAGGAAAGAGTAAGATTTGCGCTGGCACTAGCTGGGGATAAAAAATTGTCATAAATTTTGCAAATAAAGTAACCGTTGAGGGATGCCCCTTTGCGCATGTCATTATAAAAGTATCTGAGTGTTTCTGAATTATCTGCAACAAAATAGAAGTCTCAAGATGAACTTTCATTCAGAGTCCCTGTTCTATCTTCGAACCGCAGATTAGTCGTTGTTTATGGTAGATTTCTGTCCAATTAAGGCACCATTTCTGAGAGGTTTCCGAATCGCTAGAAACCAGGCTGTTTATTCTATATTGTTCCTCCAGTAAAAATTAATCTAAGTCTTTCTAGCAAAAAGTTAATTTGAATTCCTGTGCGTAACATGGATCGTGCTTTTGAAACGAACTCTGTTCCACGCGTACTATTTGTCACTTCAACATAATTCGATTTACTCCTCGGCGCAAGAGCTTAAAGTAGAAATCCTCGTTTGAAATAACTTTAAAAAATTATCACGACAATTTACGGCGTTCCGATTGTTGTATACTGAAGAGAAAAATGTCTTGAATAAATAGAACTTGATATTACGAAGATTATTGATCATTGACGCAAAACCCACGCAAACCAAAGCACTAATTTCATGAAATCTACAAATAGTGTAGAAATTGTTAATTCCACAAGAAATAATTCAAATCAATTTATAAAACTATAGACTTTGAAAGGTATACGTTGCTTGTTTGGTTGCAGCACTTCTCTCACCACAACAAGACGATGACATATCTGTGCAGTTATGCACTACGGGTAATTACGCTTAAAGCGTTTCAAGTCCCTTAAAATATAGCGGTCAAACGCGAATCAGATAAAACCGAGCTAAATTGCAGGTCTAAGCAACGGCAATTGTAAACTATTAATCTCAGGGAGAAGAAGCATAAGCCCGCTTTTATCCAGTATATATGATTACAGTGTTGATAAAGTTTCAGTGAAGGCTGTGATCGTATCTGTCAAATCCTACTCAAGCTATATCGAATATCCTTTACAACTTTGAAATTTGGTAATAACCAAACATAGCCAGCGCGCTGTTTGCGAGATTCTTATGAATGACTGCCCAAACGGCTTTAATTCTGAAGCTGAAGTTGAACAATTTGTCTGGAATTTCATAGAAAATATTGCACCACGGATAGGTAGACAACCTGCGTTAATACGTCTAGTTTATGCCTCAACTCCTATATAAACGGACGCAGTTTTGTGTTAAACCACTTGAGGCTGCAACCAAACTCACTTAAACAGTCCGTTTAATTAAAAATGACAAGCAAAACTCACAAGCATTTCATGATAACTAACCTTTGCAATTCTTAAAGGTGCTCGAAATTCCTTGCCTCCCTGCAAACGAAAACCCCAAGGAGCTCCGCCGCTAAGCACAACTTCGTAAACTTCAGAGGACGCCATTATCCAGCGAATAGCAACAGAGATTACCCATAAATCCCTCCGCCCATACCAGCTTGACTGGCGAGGGAAAAGAGACACTTACCATATATGGAAAGTTCGCGCTTGTTCTCATTCAGCAGAGCGTGGAAAATTTTCCTGAAAACTTACGAAAACAATTTCCCAATTTGATTACCTAACATAAAACAAAACTAAGGATCATTGATAACTAATTTTTCTCAGACCTGTTTATCGGGCTCTAACTCCTAGATCGCCCGAACAGATCTGATTTCAGGCACTTATCGCGCCCTGACCCAAATGGTGTTCATTATGTAAACCAAAAACTCATATAAGTATATTGAAAATGTCCTATTCCCATCGAAAACTCCCATAAATTAACTAAATTGGGTGCATATTATTAAATTATCTTTTCCAAGATCGATGAGACAAATATTGTCTTTAAGGACTAAATTACATTCCGGAAAAAATTAGATTAATTTAATGAGATGAAATCAGTGTCCACAACTTATATAGGGCCTCTTAAATTTACAACGCACAAGTTGTCTATATCATCCGGCAATTTATATTATAACATAGCTAGCAGAGCCGCGCAATCAAATTCAGTATACGTAAGCGTGCTCAAAATCCCGATAGTGCACGCTGATAGCGTGAGCAAATCGCTTCGCCAGAAAGTTTTTTTTTCGAGCGAGCGACCATTTTTAGCGCGGGGAAAAATAATATATATTCAGGACAATAATGAATACAAACGGAGACTCGGCCCACCAGTCTCAAAACGAAGACAATTTTCTGACCTTTTCCCTTGGGCTAGACTTCTTAAATGAGGCAGAAAAAGAGAAAAACGGCATCCAAATCTCTTGCTGTCCTGACCGCCATAAACATCCAGAAAGAAGTGCAGGAAAACAGCTATGTTATAAAACGAATAAAGGCTGATAGTTTCTAAAGAAACTGTTTGGGGCTGCGTCGATGGGGGTAACGAAATAATTTGGATATATCAACAAAGTTGAAATGGTAAATTGGCCACCGTAACGATTACAAAAGCTGACGTTTCGAGCGTTAGCCCTTCGTCGGAGCGAATGACGTGAAATTCATGATATATCCAAATTATTTCGTTACCCCCATCGACGCAACCCCAAACAGTTTCTTTACAAACTATCAACCTTTATTCATCGTCGAAGGTTGAGCAAAAGAAAGTATACCCTGGCGTTAGTATGCATACTCTCTGGCCATATTGCTTGTAGTGTCCAGG